AGAGAATGAGAGAATTTTCCTTGCTCTCTATTTTTGATAGCAGTGAATCACAGTGGCAATATTATATTCTTTAAGAAATAATATCAGTTGTCTCTGTTCACTATACAAAAGTTTTATAAGAAGAAAACATTCTTTTAAAAATTTAGTAGGTACGACAGAAGAATGTCCAATAACGTGGACTCTGGCCTCTCCAGGTAGTCTAGATGACCTCCGCATCCACTGTTTAGGGTGCACAGAAAAGGCTACATTTTGGAGAAGTGCTCCTGAGTACAAGGTTGAGTTGGAGAAATGATCACAAGAGTGAACTTGCCAACGTCCATCCGCCTCAAATTGTTGGTTTTATTGGAGTAATTGCTCAGACTAATAGCATCAATATTACTTAGGGTGATGGTTACTTTATGTGTCAACTTGCTTGCTGGATCACGCTGCCCAGATATGTACTCAGACTCTATTGTGGGTAGTTCTGTGAGGTTGTTTTGGGGATAAGATTAACATTTAAACAAGCAAACTCTGAGTAAAGTGGACTGCTCTCTCTAATGTGGGTAGGCCTCATCCTATCAACTTATATAGGATGAAAGACCGACCTTTGCAGAGCAAAAGGAAATTCTGACAAGACAATCTTTGCACTTCAAACTGCATATTTTGGACTTGCTAGTCCATACACCAAAACTGTATGGGTCAATTTCCAAAGAAGATAGATAGATAGATAGATAGATAGATAGATAGATAGATGATCAATAGATAGATCTATTTCTCTGGAGAACTCTTGTCTAACTTGTTAGATACATGGATTCTTGGACGAAGCTTCCGCTGCCCTTGTGGAATCAGAAGGTCCAGTGATGTAGCCCAGGAACTGTAGTTTTAGCAAGTCCTGCCGGTGACTCCAATGCATGACAGATTTTGAAAATCACTGTCTTATGGAAAGACAAGCCCAAAATCAAAAACTTCATCTCATAAACTAGGTCAGATAACTCACTAGCTACTTCTTTTGGGAACACAGGTGACCTTATAGTTTACTGGGAGCATGACCTTACTTTTAAGTAACGCTGCTGAATAAAGTAGTGAAGACAGTATATGAAATCATCATGATCTACTAAGCCATAGAAATTATTTGTGCTAAATGATTACTTATATAATAACATCTCATTAATTCAGATTTGGTTAATTAGAACTTGTGTGTATTTTAGGTTACAGTAGTGATTATATGTGTTCACTGATAGCACAAGAATACTAGGCAAATATTTTAAAAACATTAGTTTTAAGGTTTCCTCAATTGTTATTTATTAACCTCCAATATGTAGGCTCTGTTATGGGCCGAATTGTTTTTTTACAAATTCATATAATGAATTCCTTATCCTTAGGACCTTGGGATGTGGCCATATTTGCAGCTAGGGTTTTAACATAGTGAATTAATGTTTAATTAGGTCTATAGCTGTGCTCTAATCAACATGACTGTATTTGGAGGTTAGGCCTCTAAAAGGTACCAGAATTAAAGTAATCCCTTAGGGTGGAGCCCTAATACCATATGTCTAATGCCTTCATAATAGGAGGAAATTGTGAATATCCTAGATTTAATTACAAAGGTCCAGAGGATGGGAGAGAGGAATGAGGAGGGGGTTGGTTAATCTGTTAACAAGCTACAGACCAAAAAGAATAGCAAGGCTTCTCATACTCTTAAATGTACATGAAAACCTTAACCCCAAGCCCATTATGACTCCCTAGGTGTCACTGCATCGTGCTTATCACCCCGCCCAGTCCAGAAGCAACACTGACTTCTCCTGGACACCTCCTCCCAAAGCTTTCTGCTTCGCACAGTCCCAGTCCTCGCATCTGAAACCTAAACACCCTGAAGAACTTGGGCCTTCTGCCTCCCACTTTTCATTATTAAAATGTGCTCTTAACTCTGGCCCAAACAATGATTTTCCAGCTGCTCCCTAGCCTTGTTGCTAAGGGTGATGGGAACATGTCACAGGACCGGTCTTTACTTCCTGGCTGGCATCTGTAATGGTACAAGAAACCCTATTCTTTTGGAGATCTCTGACTCAAGAGCTTTGGGTTAACTTTTATTAAGAAGAAGAAATCTGGATAAAGACATTGCGTGATGAAAAAAGATTATGGGAGGACACAAGAAAGTGCTCACCTACAAGCTAAGGAAGGAGACCTCAGGAGAAACCAAACCGGATATTGACTCCCTGACATTGGGCTCATCACCAGAACCATGAGAAATAAGTTTATATTGTTTATGGGATCTCATCTGTGGTATTTTGTAATGACAGCCCCAGCAGACTAATACAGGCTGTCTTTACACGTTTGTTATCGATGCATTAATTTTAGTAAGTAGCCCTTGGTAGCAAGTTTGGTCCTTAAACCAACTCAAAATTTGGGTTTGGGTTAAAGATCATGATATATTTGAGCTTAGATGACTAGGCTTGATCTAACACATGAATTCCAGGTTTCACTTAGCTAGCGATGGGCCTGATCTAATCCTAGCATAAAGAAGTCTTTGAACAAACCATTCTCCAATTCCATGTAGGATTAGAAGTATTCTAAATATTAGATTCTATACATTGGATAGTTCTACCATTTGTGAAATGTCCTTTGGCTTCTGGCCTTTCAGATTTTAAAATGAACATCTTAATGCTTATGAAAGGCTAACAGTTTTATAGCCGTAGTGAGAAGAACCAGAACTGGATGCAAAGCGATCAGCAGTAGTCTAACAGTCATAATGACACGCACCAAATCTGCTTTTATCAATCAGTGATAACTTGCTTCAGGAAATGTGCTTCTGAAAGTAACCAATTAGTGACAGATTCAAGTTTTGAAAGCCAGGTAACTGGTGGCAAATTGACCCATGAATAAGCCTCTGTGGATGAGGTCAACCCTACATCATTCCCTAACTCGACTGTAAGAACAAGAGTTGGCTTTTCTCCTTGAGACCACCTGGCCAGCTTGGTTCCCCGTGATTTCCGGGTTTGAACACTGGTCTCTTCCTTTGTGCCATTTGGTCCCGAGCCTCACACCATCTCACGGCACCTGCTGCTTTCTGCCCAGCCCTGCCTCTCATCACACACCAAGAAAGTGTGCGTCTATTCACTGAGTCCCTAGAGCTGTGCACTACTCATTTTTTTTTTTTTTTTTGCCTACGCTTCTACCAATATTCAAGCTTTTCTATTTCAAAATAATGTGTTAAGATGCTATTCCAAATATTGCTATGTCCCCAAAACAGATTCTGGTGCCTGGGGGAAAATATTTTTGCTCTGTTTCACACATTTTAACTTATCTTTATGATATCCCTGAGAGGTAATTCTTCTAACCTTCTTTTTAAAATAAGAAATAGAGGTACAGTGAGTTTAAATCACTAGCTCAATACTATGCCATTGTAAGAAGCAAAACTATGATATAAACCTAGATCCTTTAAAACCCAATATTTTTGTTTTTTTCATGAGCATATGCTAGTGTTTGAGGGTTTGAACGTAGCTCTTCTCTAATCCTCCCCCCCGACTACCACCACCAGAACATTAATGTCATGGTCTCCCTCATCTTCAGAGATATGTTCCAAGACTCCAGGGGTGCATGAAACTACAGATAATCCCAAACCTTGCATATACTATGTTTTTCCTATACATGTGATTCCCATGATAAGTTTAATTAATTAATGACAGATTCAAGACCAAACCCAGGGCCTCTTATGTTAGGTGAATGCTCCAACACTGAGCTATACCGCAGTCTCTTAAAGTTTAATTTATAAATTAGACACAGTGAGAGAACAACAGTAGCAGAATAAAACAATTATAATATACTATAATAAAGCTCTATGAATGTGGTCTCTTTCTGTCTCAGAAGAAATCTTAACGTGCCTATGATGTGACAAGTGAAAGAAATTAGACTAGCATCAAATAATCTTCAGATTTATCCTCCATAAATCAACTAGTGCTCTAGTTGAACTACAAAGCACCTCTACACTTAAGCACTTTAGGAGTTATCGTCTACAAAATTAGCTCTAAACTTTTTGACATGGTGTAAAAAGTCCTCTGTGATCTGACTCCTCACATTCACCTCCCACTGCTTCTTGACTCAATGTTAATACTGCAGCAACTCTGAAATAATCATCATTTTTCATACAGCCTGCTGTTTCTTGTTTCCTTGCCTTTGTTCATGTCCTGGGATGCCTTCCCTAGGCTCCTAATCCTCTTTTTCAGGCTAATTTTCATTCCTCCTTTTAAGATTGGCTCCAGCATTAACTTTCATGAAACCATTCCCAACGCCCCTAGGCTGGCTTAGCTACCTCCCAAATGTTCTTATATTTCTATCCCAGTGTTACAATACCGTCAGAAAACCAACCTTTATTGCACATGTCACTCCACAAGAATAGGTGCTTCTTAAAGACTGTCTTACTGTGTGTCCCAGTATCGGTGTCCATTGAACAGTAGATAACTAATGATTGTTGAATGCTTTCCAGTTAAAAAATGAAAATATCCATGGCAACAAGAGTTGTAACATCAATATTTAATCCCTAGCACTGAGATACTGTCAGCATGCTGATAGATTCTGATTATATAAACTCTTTTCATGTCACTCTCATAGCATACAGTTCAGTGTTATCCTGGTCCAGAGTAGTTGCTAAATGAGTATTTTCTTCGGGTGAATTATAAGAAGTGGTGCTTACTACTACTCTATGTTGAGCACAGAAAAAACTTACAGTAAGAAATCAAATCAGTTATTTAACCTCTCTAAGCTTTATTTTTCTTCACTAATACGATAATACTTATAAGTAAAAATAATATATTAACTATCAAGAGATAATTTTAATAGTATATGAAAAGCTGCTACACAGTTTAGAACATAGCAACTGCTCAAAAAGACACATTAGATCAAATGTTGAAAAGAACATCTGCAGTCCCTTGTTCATATGGGAAAATCTTCTAAATTTCAGAAATGAGTGCAATTTTAAATAGAATGTAAGCGATCTATTTTATTTATTTGCAGAACATATCACTTACCTACTTCCTGCATGAACAACATCTCCACAATGCTTCACACCTAAATGGGAATTAAAAAGTCATAGTATCAGTGCAAGAAATTCAGGTTAATCAAGTTTCATCACATTAAAATATGAAACTGGTATTTACCAAATTTTGTCCTTTCCTGGTGACTGTCTTCATTCTGTTTCAAGGGAGGAAATAAAATGTTAGAGAAGTAATCCAAATAGTATAAGTTTAAAAATTTTACATATGTGTAATTTTGAAAAATAGGAAAGGAAGAAGTCAACCCTATGTTCTTACCTTCTGGGAAAATGAACATGAGCATTCCTTTTTTGGAGGCACAGTCTTTTTCTGAAAGTATGTCCACACTTTTGTGAGTATTACCTCAAAGGTAACGATTAGAAAAACTATAAGGATGATTGCCACCCACTGATTCTGAAAAATCCAGGATTCTAGAAAATCTTGTGAAGTCAAAAGTGTACTAACTTCCAACACACTCCTAATTTTACTTTTAAGGAAATCATATAGCGTTGACTTTTTTCTAAAACTGGTGAAATAGATAGATATCTCGTTCAGAAGTGCTTGCCAAAAGTTTTGTATGCCCATCTCATAGCCATAAGCAAAGCTCGGCCAGAGAAAATCTCCAGGATTAGGCAGGCAGTGCCTGCTCTGAGCTTCAGTTAAGTGAGGTCCGTGTCACAGTGGGCATTAACTTAGCTCACAGCTACTTTAGCACTCACAAAATTCACTGGTGAGACATGTCCATTGCTGTAGTTTTTGAATTCAAAGTCACCTATTAATTTCATAAAAAACATAATTCTATGTACAATCTCAGTGTAATTGCATTAGCACTGCCTTATAATTTGAATTTCAGCTAAATACTGTACTAAATTTTTATTATAATTATTTCCCTCCACTACTATGTAGGATATATGATAATTTGTCTTTTAGGAGGCTGCCTGAATTATATTTCTGAAAATAGAACACTTAATTTTATGTTTCTTTTTGCTAGGGGGCTCTGTGGACAAGTTCCCCTTCACCAACCTACTGGTATGTTTTAAACCAAAGTTAGACATGGTGGATTTCCCTTTTGCAACGTTGACAGCAAGTCCAAGGAAAAACAAGCATAGGAAACGTAAAGTCTTCTAACCGTGGATAAATTATAAAGGAAAAGAAGGAGCTCAAAGATTCAATTTCCCAGCCCCAATCTCACATAAAGAATGTAAAAGTTTCTAAGTCTGTCCTAAAAGAGAGCCTCCTCTGCTTTAGTTGAAGGGCTGAGATTGCAGAAACCTAAAAACAGGCCCTCATAATTTGATTTGCTGAAATACAGTAAGTTTAATACTCAGCCTCGAAGGGTGTCTGAAGTTAAGGTGAGGGTACTGAAAACCATGGGATCCAGTAACCTGGGATGGAGATGTTTGGGGGGATCCCGACGAGATTGAGGATGCTGAGCTCCTAGACTCTAATGAGATTATTCCCACCCACAGTGGTGAAGGCCTCTCCACCTCCACCCCCTGTTGTGTTGGTGTCTCCTCCTCATACCTGTGGAAACTAATCTTGTGTTGACCAAGCACGAAAATGCTGACACTCCAGAGGACCCACCTTCACCACTTACTTTTGCCTCTAGGCCTGTAACCAGGCTCAAATCACAGAAGACCCCTAAGGCTGAGGTACATAGTGTGACCCAAGAGGAAGTCCATTATTCTCCCAAAGAATTTCTTGAGCTTTCTAACCGTTCTGAGCAGAAGCCCGAAGAGCAAGTGTGGGAATGGATTTTAGGGGAATGGGAGAATGGTGGCAAAAACATACACTTGGATCAGGCTGAGTTTGTTGATATGGGCTTGTTAAGCAGATTCTGACTTGAATGTTGCAGCTCACAGAGGGGGCAAAAAGGATGTTAATAGTTTATTTCTGCTGATTGGCGGAAGTGTTGATAAAAAGATGGCTCAGTATAAATGGGTTAGAGTTGCCTGATAGTCCGTGGTTTACTGCTGATAAGGGGATGCAAGGCTCAGGGAAATGGGAATGCTGGAGTGGATCTGTCATGTTAAACCTGGGATGATCTGGAAAATGTACCCTTCACCAGCACCCTGAGAAACAGATTCATGAGCGGAGCACCGGCATCCCTGAAGAACCCTGACATTGTTCTTTCCTGTACACCGGACCTTATGGTAGGACTGCAGTTACTGAGTTGGGAAGCTGAAGGGTAATGGGTTTAACTGGACCCCAGATGGCAGGGATCACATGGCAGCACTTAATCACCAAAGGCAAGGTGCGCACACTTTCCATAATGGACAGCAGAAGTAGAACAATGACCAAAGTGGTCTGACACACATAGACCTATGTCACTGGCTAAGTAGCATGGTGTTCCCAAAAGTGAAATAGATAAGAAGCCTACTAAAGTTTTACTAGATTTATACAGCATAATCAAAAAAACTTAGGGGCAAATGAACAGACACCTACTTCAAATCGTATCAGTGGAGAACCATAGCCCCTCGACCAGTTCCCAGATTTCAGCCCATTTTCACACCCAGGACCCCTTGAATGAAGGGGGCCTGGGTCTCCTTGAGGAGGGAGCCTGATGCACCACCAAAGTTTTATATGACCATACCTTTCTTCTGTCCTCCTCCAAAGGGACCTAAGGCCTTTTACCAGGGTAACTGTACATTGCAGGAAGGAAAATGACAAGACATTTTGGGAACTACTGGACACTGATTCTAAATTAATGCTGATTCCAGGAGACCCAAAACATCACTGAGGCCCTTGAGTAAGAGTAGGGGCTATGGAGATCAGGCGACCAATAAAGTTTTAATAAAGGTCCAACTCACAGTGGGTCCAGTAGGACCTCATATTCTTCCTGTCTTTATTTCCTCCATTCCAGAATGTGTAACTGGGATAGATATACTTAGCACTCAGTGGAATCCTCACATTAGTTCCTTAACCTGGAGTGTGAGGGCTATTACGGTGGAAAGGCCAGAAGGAAGCCACCGGAGTTGCATTTACCTTGTAAAACAGTAAACCCAAAACAACATCTCATGTCTGGAGGGATTAGAGAGAGTAGTGCCAAGAGATTATCAAGCACTTGGAGGATGGAGGGATGGTGCTTCCCAACACATTCCATTCAGTTCTCTCATATGCCCTGTGCAGAAAAGGGATAGGTCCTGGATAATGATGGTGAATTATTATAAATTGAGTCAAGTGGTGATTCTGATTGCAGCTGCAGTACCAGATGTGATTTCCTTGCTTGAGCAGATTAACACATCTTGTGGTACTTGGTACACTACTGATTTCACAAATGCCATCTTTTCCATACCTACCCGTAAGACCCATCAAAAACAATTTGCCTTCAGTTAGCAAGGCCAGCAACACACCTTCACTGTCCTACCTCGGGGTTATATTAACTCTCTGGTCCCATGTCAAATTTAAATCTAATAGTGACCCCATAGATGATTTTTTGAATATTTTTGGCAGAATGGGAAATATAATGACGCCAGCTGGTTGGTCTTAATATCTCCAGACAAACTACTTTAGTTATCTGAGACATTATTTCTGATTTTTTATAGACCCTCATTCATCCACTTTGTTACTTCTGTTGCCACCATTTCAAAAAGTTCAGGTTGGTGGCTTTCGGTTTCTTCCACTTAACTGCCACCTGAATTTGCCTCTGATGAGCTGGAGGTCTGGTGCTGCATCTTGCTTCTGTGTCATCTCATTTTCTATTTTTTAAAAAATTTATTTTCTGCATTGATGCTTCTAAATTGCTTATGGTAGGTAGTATTATTACTAGTATTGAGACCTCCTTAGGAAATGACTACTTTTCAGAGATGTATTCTAGTTGTAGCTGGATTTTGGCTTTGAGTCTGTCCCAAGATCCTACCTCTTCAGTTTACCAGGGATGAGAAGTTGCTGGGTTTGGCCTAGCACTCAGTTCTTTGGTACAGGACTGTGGTATTGCTTATGACTCTTAGTCAATCTCAGTATTGGCATACAAAGAACAACAGATCACAACTATTTAACCATGGCTAAAGTAGTAATAACAATAGCATCAAGCACAGCCTAGAAAATGACAAATTGTGATAACTATTAATTTCTCACCTTCAACCATAGGATCAAGATTTATAGTTATATTACAAAATCTAAAACAAAGCAAAAATAATATACAGTAAATATCCCCTCAATAGAGCAATTTTACCCTCAAAGGAGAAAATTTAAAAGAGTTAAGAGCAAAAAATAGAGAAGTAGAAGAGAAAGAAATTAGAATCAAGGCTGAAAGAGAAAGAAAGATTACCCAAGCTTTGGCAAACTGATGGAGAGGACAGGATATTGGGGACCACAAATTAGAAGTGACAAAGTATCTGTCTGAGGCCCTCCCTGCCCTGCCTTGTGGGCTGGTTTTGGTATGCAGAAATCCCACTTCCTCTCAGTCACTGCTGAGATTTTGATGGTCAATGAGGCCATAATGCTCACAGAGCAGGATGAAGTCTGTGGAGGACAATTCAGGGGAAACTAGTATCCAGGTGTGGGGATGAATCTTATTTCTTTCATGATGTTAAAGTTGCCTGTTCAGCCACTGTGTTATGGTTTGTGTCTGTGTGTCCCCCTCAAAGCCTCAGGTGGTCATGGGGCAGGCTTTTAGAGTTTGATTGATTGTGGGTGTGAGAGCTACACCCGCCCTGGCATGGACAGTTTGCATATGTAAGGGAGAGGAAGAGGCTGCTTGCGGGCCATTCCTGGCTTTTAGTACTTGTTGCTTTTGCTGTGTTCTGCCGCCATGAGCTGTAGCCCTCTGCCATGTGCCACTCTGCCTTGTAACCTGCCAAGTATGGACTGAAACCTCCACAAACTGTAAGTGAAATAAACCTTTCCTTCCTTAATTTTGGGCATCAGGTATTTTGTCCCAGCAATGAGAGAAAAGTAACCAAGACACACTGCTTCTATGCTATTCCAAGAAAAGCACCCTACCCTTCCTCCTGCACTGGCTAATAAAATTGTAGCTAGCTGGAGATTCTTGGTCTTTGTTCCAGCATTGATCATCCCAGAACCCTATTTCCTTGCTCTTTTTCTTTCTTGCCATGTGCTATAACTCTGGGCAGGAAACTGGGGACTCACTGTAGGGATCCCTGATAACCGGTGCCATGGAAAGGGTTGCCAATAACAGGAAAGAAAGAAGAAATAAAAACAAAAGCAAAACAAAAAAATCCTAAGATCGATGTTCACACTCACAAAAAAATAAGAACAATCTAGAAAAAAAATCAAAGAAAGGAAAGTGAACATGTCCACTTCAGGGTGTGTCTCTGTTGTCACTAGTAGCCAAAGGAGGCGGACAGAGACCAGATCTGTCCTGGATGTTCCCAGCAAGCCTGCAGTAGTTAGGGTGGTGAACTGGATAATCCCAACAAGCCTGTGCTCTCAACTCCACAGAAGTTCAGGCTGATCCTGTTCTCTGGCTGTGAGGCAGGGACCCAAGTTGTTCAGCCCACAATACTGTGGGTGTCTCTTGCTGGCTTGAACTTGGCTACCTGACCCTGTACGTCTTCCACAGCCACAACTTTCTGGGCACTAGGAGGCCCAAGATGAAGCCAACCCACATCTGCTCTGAGTCCCCGATTCAGCTGGCCGCTTCCCAGAACAGCATCCAACCAGTTGCCCTCTCCTTGGATGCCTGCAGTGCAAGCACTCACCAGCGGCGGCAGCCCACAGCATCCACTGCTCCGTTCCACTGGTGTATTTCTCTGTAGAGGCCTCTGCAGTCACCTGCAGTCACCATGCCTGTCACAGTGTGAGCTGGGAGTCAGGGAGAAGTACCCGTTTGGCAGGTCCCCCTTCTGCACTGAGGTCTCTTCTTGCTCTTGCTGTGGGCTCACACCCTTCCTGGGCCCTGGGGATCCATGTCCCTCCTTCTATGACTAAAGTTGCTATATTCTAGCATCTGGACTCTGAGTCTCAGACAGACTGATTTGCCACTGCTCACCATTCTACCATAGTCCTAGAAGTCTGTCATGGGGGGTGGAGAGACAAGCTTGAGTTATTCGAGGGAAACTTCCAAAGATGGGCACAATGGCATATGCCTATAATCCCAGCTACTTGGGAAGCTTGAGTCCAGTCTGACCACTTAATGACACAACATCAGAATAAAAAAATAAAAAGCCCTGGGAAGTAGTTTACTAATAGAATGCCCCTGGCCTCCAAGCCAAGGACCACAGAAACAAATAAATGAAAGCTACAAACAAGGGGAAAATTGTTTTGAGATCCTTCAATGATGGGTAAGATTTGGTAAGAAAGATTGACAAAGCTTCAGGAAGAAAGGCAGACTTTCCTCTACAATTTTGCATAATCCAGATTAGCTATAGCACTGTTACGAGTCAGAATACAAAGGAGGGAAAGGCTGGACTGTTGGTAGGGTCCTACTGTGGAGACAGCCCTGGAGACTCATCAAGTTTTCCAGCTGGAAGTATCTATTGGTGTATCACAGCAAGGGGATAGTAAAGTAGAAAAACCAATCAGGCCAGTGAAATTGTACAGATGAGAACAGATAGTTTTAATAGAGTGATGGCAGGGCAAACAAAAACACGAGATTTTTAAGACACTGAAAATCCAAGATTCAGGAACTAGAAGGAAGGAAATGTCTTCATGGGTGGGACAGGGCAGTAGTGTGGTGAAACAGATAATGGCTTGGAAGCATTTAAAGGAATCTTAAAACGAGTTTATCTAGGACAGTTTCTCAACAGGGGCACTATGGACATTTTGGAGAGAATATTTGTTGGGGCTCCTGCATTACAGGATAGTTAAGAGGGCAACAGCCCTCCTTCTACTTATGACGCCTAGGACCACTATCCCTGTCCTGACAATCACTGTTTGAGTTTCACCTAAAACTTCAAGGATGTGCATATTGTGAATGTATTGATGAAGCCTTTTTCTAAATGTTCATTTCAGCAGTAGACATTATTTTCTCTAGGAAACTCAAGGGTAAATCAACTTTTAAATGATACCTATATTATCGTCATATTTGAAGTAATTTTTTTTTAGCAATGCTCAGGATTGAACCCAGGGCCTAACCCATGCTGGGGAAGCTCTCTAGTACTGAGCTACATGCCTTAGTTCCTTAAGCATGATCTTTGTTTGGTCACTGATGTGCATATCAAACACATACTTTAATTTTGTAAATGTTATAATTGCATAGCTTGATTAATAAATTTTTAAATCTAGTCACTGTACCTGTATAGCATGTTCTAATTTATAAGCTGTCCTTTTTATTTCACATTACTTTTATTTCTGGTTCACCATATTATTATTCCATAATTGATTTATAATTTTTAATAGACCGGTGATTATAATTCTTGACAGCTCTGAATTTCCCACTTACCATCTTTTGATACTTAAAATTTCAAATGTTTACTATTTTTAATTATACTTTTCTTAAAAAATATAGGCCTTGTTCAGGAAGTCCAAAAAAAACTAATATACTGGGCGATACAGGAAATTTAAATTTTTGGTTGTACATGATTTCATTCTGCAATATAAAAGATTGGAATATTGATATCTACATTGTTGTTTCCATTTCTTGTATTTTAAAAAGTAAAAAAAATAACACTTAAAACCCACTGACTACCGGGCAAAGAATGAGAAACCTCAAAACACAGAAACCCATCCAGGCCGTCCAAGGCTGTATGAAAGGTCTACCGTAAAGTCAACAGGAAAGCAAGGGAATGGATACATCTCTCAGAACACCATTCTTTATTACAAACTTCTTTATTTAGCATCGGTCTCATCATCCTGTGTACTTTATAGGATGCATCAGTTTTTTATATATAACTCAGTACTATGCAAAGTTCAGTTCAGGAAACAAATTTCCCGAGATAAAATTAAGCCTTAACTCTGCTTAGATACAGCACATTAGTCGTACTATTTAGCCATTAATTCTCCCCTTAATTGCAGAGTGGCTACCCATGAATTTCGCATACCATGTTGTTAGTTTCCAAGTGTTTACTCATCTTTGTAAACTGAATGATATTTCTCCTCTAATGGGACTTCAGTAAACTCTTCTTGAAAGCTATTACTTCATTCTAAAAGCAGTTTTTGGTATCCCATATTTGAAATATATCACCACTCTTCTCCCTTGAGATTCTTTAAAAGATGAGGTGAAGAGATGAATATATTCTATAAATCTCTGATTAGATTTAATATAGCAGATTTGGTTTTTGTTTGGCAGTGCTTGAAATTCAAACAAGGCCTTGTGCATGCTAGGTCAAGTACTCTCCCACCGAGTAACAATCCCAGTTCCTACCCCTCTTTCAAAGGTGACACTACTGCATAAAACTGGAGTACTTTCTCATACAAGTAAGACAAAAGCACCACTGTAACAAAATTCAAATGTTTAATCTTTTCAAAACTTAACTATACTAATAAAAATAAATTATATTTAGACCACCTTCAATATTTGTACATCATCTTCATACAACTATAACAGTACTTTCAAAGACATCTGTAAAGTATATTAATTTCACAATTAAAATGTGTTTCAAAAATAGGGCAACATTAAAGAACATTAGTCTGAAATATATCTCAATGCTGAGAGGTATATTGTTATTTATCAAATTAACTGTTTGTATTCAAAATAACATGGCTTTAACCTAATTATTTCTTGTCCATTTCAGTGATTTCTTGGATCCAAAACAAAATCTGTGTATTTATTTCTTTGAAAACATCATTTGTTGACCGTCCTTTCACTGCCATGGAATGGTTTGCCTTCTCAATCCAGTGGATCTTATTGGGAGCTTGCATTTTCTGTGCCACCTTCTCCAGTAAGTTCTAAGGAGAGAAACAAAGAGGGTACTAGACATACTGTTTTGACATTTAATAGAAAAAATTCTCTCCGCCAGTGCATACCAATACCTACTCACCAAGTACTCATTACCTACTATTCAGATAACTTTCTAGGCAATGGAATGCCTAAGGAAACGTCCACAGAAATGGCAGCCCAATGCACTCAGGCACAACGGTATGAAAGGACGGATCAAGCATTTGTTATTGACAAAAAAACAAAAACAAAAAAAATCTTTTTCCAAGTAAATCATACGCTTGGCAAAAGAACAGTTTCCTAATACTACTATTCAGTAAAGGACGGACGCTGCCAAGTCAATCCTTTCTCAAGAGTCAGTTTTGTAACGATCAGTCAGAATGTTGAAAGGATAATGTGCGCTCCAGAAATGGTAACACTCAGATATAAATCTTTCATTTCCAAAAATAAGGCTTAATCCATTTACCAAGTCTTTCTAGGAATATACATTTTATTCATTTGCTTATATTTTTAGGTTCTTCAAAGAACAGCCTAACAAAAGGACAACTAGCATTAGATTAGCATTAATTGTCTAGCATTACACAAGTTAGACAAAATATAATGGAAGTTCTTTTTTTAAAGAGATAAACAGATTCAATACCTTCGAATTATAATAGACAAATAGATTTGAATTATAATAGATAAACTATCTCTTTTTAAAGGACTGAATGTTGCAGGTAATAGCTTCCTCCCAAGATACTTGCTTTCACTTTTTTTCTCATTCACACAAACATCAATTTGTAATTCACCTTTTCACACATTTCATCTGCAGAGCCTGATACAAACAGTACAGGATCTTTTAGACGAAAGAGGTCTTCATCTCTGAGTTTATGCTGCTGCTTTGGATGGTGCAGTGGGTAAGAAATGCAAATGAGACCCCGAACAAAACCATCAGCTTCACCTGGCTCAACATGACACATGACAGAAGCAGCTGCTCTTGAGCCCATGGAACGACCTAACATCAATTAAAATTAAGTTCAGTGTGAAATATAAACATGTACATGAAGTAGCAGTGATAACGTGGCAAAATTAATTTTATTTACTCTTTAACATTTTTGTTAACTGAGAAAACTACATAACTTCAAAAGATGATAATTAACAAATCTATAATACCTATAATGAAACCTACAGCTTTACGAAAAGCAAAACATTGTTCAAGCTTAAGTGGAAACCAAAACACTGTTCAAGCGTAAGTCAAATTTTGAAAAAAAGCAAATTTTTTTGAATACTTAAAAGAGTGACGACATTCCTTGTGAAAAAATAATTTACAAGACAGTGATTCAAAGATATAAATAAAAGGAGACATCTTTAAGTTATAACATGCAGTTTATATTTGCTTTAAATATGTAGAGTACTTTAATATCAAGGCAGTCACTTACCAAAACATAAAATAATTCTTATATTAACTCCCTGTTATCAATTTTAATACTAAAATGGGTCATTAACAACAATTCATAAGCTTTGCAATTTACCTCCAAGGAAAACACCTGCAAGTTTGTATTCTCCTGAGGTCTTCAGGTAATTCTAGATGAAAATAACCAAAGGTTTATGAATTCTTCTATGTAATACTTCCCCCAAACAGTGAAGACATTATTTCTTATCATTCCTCACATGTATGAAAACCTACACAAAGAACCACAAAATCTTAAAAGATTCTTCTTGAAAAATTCTCCTTACCTCTTCTGGTCATCTTTTCACTATTAAATCACATGCTGGGTAATACAAATGTGTGAGAAAAAATGAATTTCTTTCATAAAAATATTCAAGCAATAAAGTATTTCTAGACAAATTATTTTTAAAAGGCCAGAAGAGGCTTCCAATTAATAACAAAATTTATAATACTAACATGTAATGTAAAGCTCTGGAAAACTTAGCAAGCTTAAAATAATTTAGTTGATTTTAAGCAATGTTTCTGAAAAATATAAATATACAGAAACACTGTCCAATTTGCACATGCACAATATGGTAAAGTATTCCAAATGTCAGAACTATATTCTAAAGTTATACAATTCCAGTGAGAAAATCATAAGTACCTTCCTGGGCAGTATCATGGAGGAACATTTATGATGTAAGCATTCATCTCCATGGACACCAACTGATGGCAAAAAAGAGAGAAATCTGACCGCTCAACAGCCTTCGGGTACTGTTGGAAACTTTTAAGGATCTCATTAGAAGATTTTTCAGTAAAACCAATGACTGCTAACAAAATTTGCCTTAAATTTATTAATTTAAAACCAAGTCTTAAAGTAATGATAAATAAATTTTCTTACCAAAACTGCTTTATATGCCTTAATTCTATGTACAATATTAAGGCCTTTGCAGGTAAATCTCAGGGAAAAAAACCCATGAGATGCAAGATGTGATGCTAGTGACATCAGGTGAGGAAGATTCATATCTCCTGACGCTCCATGTGTAAGAATTATTCCGTATGTTACGCTCTTGTTAGGTATCAAGCAAACAGCATCCAGTAATTTATTTCCAAAAGGTATTTTTAATTTAACCTAAAATTCAAGAGAATAAAGGGATTAAAATAAAATTACTCCTTTGACTATTCAGACAACTGAATCGCTATACCTATTTGTTCTGTGAAAGTCAGGACTGAAGTCATGGTCTACAGATAAAAAGTAATACTAACAGTTAACATATACTGCTTACTGTATGTTATGTACTGTAAGTGCCTTATATGTGTTAACGCATTTAAATCTTCATAATCTATGAGGCAAGCAGTATTAGTCTCTCTGTTTTATAGATAAGGCACACTGAGTTAAGTAACTTGCCCAAGGTTATACAGCTCCTCCCTAGGATTCGAACTCAGGCAATCGGCTCCATTAGGAGTCCCGCCTTTCACAGGGCAAGATGAAAATAAAAGTAACCTGCAGCTATGTGATTACCAAGTAAGTTAGTAAATAAATGAAAACTGATGATACAGAACATATGAAAGTATTACCTCTGTATGACTCATTTTCACTGTTGAATAAAAAACGGAAAGTGCATTACATCTGAGAAGCAAAGGCCATCTCCCTGAAAAGAAAATTCTGTTGTGAAAGGTGAGTTGTTAGACACGGGTACGACAAAAGAACACACTCGGTAGCTGAAATACGCCTATTCAGAACTACTTCTCTGAAAACCTGTGTCCTCACATGTATTGTATTTCATCACACGGTACTTACAGGGTTCTTTGGGCACTCAAAGTTGATTAGAGACATGTGGGGCCAGCAGATGTCATGTAAGAGAAATGCAATTCACTTCAAAGTAGGGTGCTATGTTGGCAAAAATACTCATTTTTAAAACATATACACAACACACATTTCTGTAAGCACTTTCATTCTCAACTATCTTCAACCTCACTTTTCTACATCTGTTAACTCGTGGTCACACTCATTATCCTGCTCTCCTGAAACAGAAGTGTGCCTCCCTGGAGGCAGAACACGCATCTCATCCTACTGACTTTGGGTCTGGCCATGAGATGTGCTTTAACTAATGGAATATACATAAAGATTCAATGTGCCACTTCTGAGTGGAGACACAGCAGATTCTCAGAAACCTTCTTGCACTTTCACTTTGAGAGGGAGACACACTCCAGGCAGTTTTGCATTTTCAGCCTGTATCCCGGAACAAAGACATGTGGAGCAGAGAGGAGGGGCAAACTAAAGTCTGGATCCAGACTGGCCCATCCAGGATCTAAACCACTGATGACCGGCAGAACTTTGAGCATGATTGAAAATCACTGAAATTTTGGGACCGTTATACAATATTCCTTCGTACTCAGAGAATTTTCAGTTTTCAGGATACAGTCAACATGAGAATCTCCATACATGACCCATTTGCCTCCATTAGCATTCATTTAATAGGTGAGAATGAACAGTTCAAAGTGTGAAAGACATCAAGGACAGTGCAAATGTCTCTCCCATTATACTTCTACCGTGCACCCAGATTTCCTGGCTGAAGATTTCCCCACTTTCTAGGTATCTTTCCAGGCTGTACTGTAGTTTTATATAGCAACTTGCACATGGCACAAAATTTTAAAAGAAAAAAAAAGTAAACATTCTTTCCCCTCTCCAGCCACACAGTTCTCCATTCTCAGGAGCAATCAGTGTAACCGGAGTATCTTTCTCTTACTTGCTCACTGCAGAATTCTCTTATTTGAGCCTGGAAGGCATTAATCTGCCTCAAAAGTTCTGGAAGTGAAATGGAAGGGCATGAAGGAATTTAGTCTTTAGTGTCTCTATTTTCAGAAAGGTACCTCTAGGAATATGCCTTGGGTCCCACAGTTCAAAAACCCCCTACTTTGTCAAGATAAAAAGCCTCCATCTAAGTCTTCTAACAACTGGAAAGGTACTTAAAAAGGTGAAATGGGGACAGGATCTAGCTATTTAACTGCTTCTTTTAAAGATTTCACCTATTCCCTTTGTATTAAAGCCTTCCCTCCCCAGCACCACCCTCTTCACTCCCTGATCCAAAGGTGAAGGGTGCTGACAGTTTCTATGCATTTTCAAGATTCTGTGATTTATATGGAATTATTTTATACCATTCCCTGCTGCTGGTGTAGGATTACGTTACGGTTTGTTAAGACATTTGCTCCCTAGAGCCCATTATTTGATAATTTCCCTATGTGGGTTTATGTCTTTTCAAAAAAGTTCCTTATCTACAATTTTTTTTGTGAGATTTCAGGAGGGAGTAAAATTACAGCGTGTTTCCAACACTATCTCAACCATTCTGTAACACAGGGCTTGGTGTCTTGTTTTGGGAAAACTCTCCTCTCCTGCAGACTTCCTGATGAACAGCTTGTTCAGCACAACTCGTGCACATGGCCTTGACGACTTCACAAACACTGCCATTGTCCCCTCACACAACCTCAAGGCAACCTGCTCCCGTGCTGTAATCTCTGCCTTTGGTTTTTGATAAGGGAGGCTTCGAGGCCTGGCTCCGCCTCGACGTCTTCACTGTAAGCGGAGAAAACAACACCGAATTTCCCCAGATACCGTGACCCCGCAGCCATCAGGTGTGAGCTGAATCCAACACAGCGCGCGCACATGTCCCGCACCACTCCTCGCGTGCACAATCCCTGGCCACATCCTGCGTTAAGGGATCCGAGGGCCATAAAAACTCGACTTTTGGCTGAAAGGCGTTTGCGTGTCATCAACCGCGGCGACAGCTGTCACGGGGCACACGCGAACGCGACCTGGAGTTCAAGTCTTCCGGGGGTCCGCGCAGCGCCGCCCACCCCACGGTGGGAGGCGGGAACGCAAGCAAGGCTGAGAAGCGGGTCTGCAGGAGGCGGGTCCACGGCGCGCGGGGCCGCGGCTGCTCAGACGCGCGCGCCCGGCG